TCGCCTGCCCTCTTATTCTCTTCGCCAGTCCCCGACGGCTCCAATCTTTTGACTGCCCGGCGGCCAACAAGCAGCCCTCTGCCCCGACAGAACTATGTTGGCCGAATCCGCCCCGCCACACATCACCTGCTGCTGGGACCAAACCCTCAATACCTCGGTTAAACCTCAAGCAGGACAATGGAGGGGCTGAAGCCATGGAGAGGCGCGAAAACACTTCGGGGTCCGGAGTGTGTGGTTAGGGCGGAGGCGGGGCTCATAGCCAGACTTGGCCGCCTTGTTCCCTCCCAGCCCGCGAGGGGGCGCCTTGTCCCCATGACAACGCGGACAACCCCCCTCACCCCCTCCCCCGGAGGGCAGCGCCGGAGGCTAATCCGCCCTGGAGGCTGTGGGCGGTGCCCACGGTGCTGGAGCCCCGAGTCGCGGGCGAATTCCCGGGAGGGGCGCAAGCATTAAGGATGTCCGACGCTCCAGGTGGTGACCCCCGCGCGTCGCCGCTGGGTGGCCGGCCCGAGCGGGCGGTGCGTCCCCACCACGATTGGCTGCTTCCCTGTGACATCACGCGGCTCGGGGAAAAGTGCGAGCGTGAGCGCGAGTCGGAGCCACAGCGCCAGGAGCTGCAGGCGAAGCAGGGGCCGCCCCTTGACACCCCGTCCCCGCCCCCGGTCTACGGCCCATTCGCCCATCTCGCCGACTTGCGAGGCCTCTAGCTTGCCCCGCCGTCTGTCCGACGCCAGCGGACCAAGACAGAAGCAGCGGGTGAGTAACTCCGCGGGGGCGAGGGGCTCCTGTGCAAGACGACGATGTGAGGCCCCGGGACCCGCTGGGGGTCTCCAGAGGTGGCTCCCAGACCCCCGCAAGTGTCAAGCGCGGTGCAGAAGGACCGGGGAGCTCAGGGGTTGGGGGGCCGAAAGAAGGGCTCTGGGTCTCTGAAAGGTTTCTCCAGGTGCGCCTCCAGAGACTGATGATCATCCAGGAGGCTAGGGGCAGAAGAGTTTCAGCCCACAGCCCCAGCCCTAAAGCCAGGCAGCCGTCGGGTCAAGACCCACACTCCCTCATTCCCTCCGGTTGGCTGCTCTATAGGGCGCCGGAAGAAGAAGCCCCAAGGCGCCCTTTTCCCGCCCGTCCCTCCGCCCTCCCTTACCACCTTGGCCCACCCGTATCTACCAGCACATTCTAGCCAGTAGAATCCTCTGTCCGCGACCTTGAGCCCCGACGGAAAGCACCCCTGTTTTCTCCTGGCACCCCGCCTCCTCTCCAGGACTAAACCTTGCTTTTACCCATCCGGGGAGATAGTCTCCTGGTTCCCCACCCTCCCAGCTCTTAGAGGAAGTGTTGGGCACAATGACTTGGCCCAATATCCTGCGCCCCTCTCCCTTCCCCTTAAGTACATAGGCTTCTCTCCGCCCCAGGGATAGTTCTGGGGCCATAGCTCTCCTAAAGTGATCGCTTAATAATCGAAAACCTACCCCACGAGCCACCCCACGGGCGCCCAAAGCACCCTTTCCCGTCTTGTCCCCAGCAGGGAAGGGGGCTCGAGGACCCACGGAAGCACAGCCCACGCCCAGAGACTACAGGAACTGCGTGCCTGGGGGGGGGGGGGTTGATGGGAAGGCGGGGCATCCGAGAATCTTGGCCCTTTCGACCGGACCCAGAGGGACCCAGACGTGGAGGAGAGACGAGGTGGGCAAAGGGTAATAAGCCCTGAGGTGGCCCCTTAGGTATACTTGAGTCCACGGCTTGTGAACTCGGTGCCTATTTTGACTGATGGGACTAGATAGGGCCTTTCCAGCGGGTGCGGGTTCAAGAGTGAACCTCGGCTGGGCTCCCCATTTGGAGGTTCTGCCCTGCCTTCAATGTGTGGGGTACTCTGAACTGAGCCCGGTGACCCTCACGGCTCGATTGGGCGACTATCGCAGAGGCTTCTCGTCAGAATTCCACGGCTGGGACTGCGTGCTCTCTATTCTTGAGAATGCAGACAGGGCCAGGCGCCCAGGCCACTAAGATAGTGGTTCCAAAGTAAGGGTTTCCTCGCAACCAAAATTTTGATCTTTTCTCGACCCTTTCCCCACCCACAGGCCGGGCGCTTCCCGGCCGTTCCCGCCATAGGCTTTGGATGTGACTGGTCACTCGCTGATGGTCCAGCATTTGCTCTTCACACAAGTTCGCAGGTACACCGACCCAAGCCGTGAGCTTGGGCCACCCATAGCACCCTAGGCACGCACACACATGCATATGCACGTGTCCACATGGCGCTGGCATGCTCATGCGCTCAAAGGCACACCGGTATCCAGGCGTGGCGGTGCGCACACTGGCACATGCAGGAAGCTACGAGTGTCTACTCGCACTCTCGGGTAGTCACACACAAACAGAACTTGCACTCGCGTTCCCACCTACTCGTTCCTTGATGGGTGCCTTGCAAGATGCTGATGGAATCCCGACGCCCTAAAGTTTCTCATCCTTAAGCCTCCGGTCAAACCTAGGGAACCTTTGTGGTGGCTTAGAGCTACGGAGTCTGTCGGTGTTCCCTTCCCTTTGGTCCCTTGTAGGAGAAGCCCTGCCCTGAGGCTTTTCTGTATTCGCGATTTGCACTGGGACTTGGGGACGTGGCAAACACGGCCACTGGTTCGGGGTCCGGATCTGGCACCCGGGGACCGACATTGCCATCTAGCGGTGCGCACAGGTCAGGGCGACGGCTGCGAACCTTCCCAGATCCTAGTTGGGTCGGGTTCTGGGAAAATTGTGTCCACGGGTGTTGTTGCAGTGTGAACGTCTGAGAGAGAATCAAAGAGGTCCTGAAAGAAAACTGGGACCGAGTTGAGAAAACTGGATTTTACCCAACCTGCATCTGGCAGGGCCCGGGAAAACCAAGCCACCCAGCATTTATCTGGTCACTTACTTATCCAGGCTGTGTCTGGTTCCAGGAGGACAAAAGGTCAAACCCAAGCTGGATGGAATATGAGGGTTCCGCACCTGGGATGCATCTGGTGGGCTTCTCTCTGGTGTGGTTTGGGAGGTACCTTGGAGATAAGAAAGTGTCTTTGGGTGCTAATCCTGACCCAACTCTTCTTGAACGGGATGGCTTTCACCAAGTTCATTAATAGGAAGCCCCTCTGTAAGACGAGGTTAGCAACAGCGCAACGTCTTTTCTGGCTGCTGTAGGCATTAAACGTGACCATCTATAGGAAAAGCTCCAAGGGGCTCCTGACTCAGGTTAACACTCAATAAACAAGACTTTTGCTGTATTTTCCTATGTCACATCTCCCCACCCCTACCTGCTTCCTAACCTGCTGGCTGCTGCCTTTTGTTCTGGCCCTGAGAGAGTAGTGAGGTTTTCCTTGGTATGCACTAATGTCTCCCTCCTGGCTTACGCCTGGGAAAGGTGGCTTTGCTTGATGCTACTACCGTTCTAGCTCTTAAACTGATGCTTGGAGCTCCATTTTGGGGGTTCTTGGCACTAAAGGGCACTGTGGAGACTCTTAGAAGGACCCATCTGTCTTACCCTTGACTCCTTGGGTGACCTTGGAGGGATCATTACCCCCTCTCCTCCTGTCCTTCTTTGACCCAAGGATTTAGAGCAGGAGAATTTAATTTTGAAGTTAACGGCAGGGTCTTGTGTCTTCTGTGGCGGGGGAGGGGGAGCTGGAGGACTGGGGCCAAGCTTGGCATGTGTCTGCAGCCTGCAGTACCATTTCCAGGTGGAGAGCAAACTGTGGCGCTGACAGGATCACCTGGCTATTCAAAGACTGTGATGGGACGAGATCCTGTTTTGTAAATGAGGGGGTTAAGTCCTAGGAGCACAGATGGCTCTCCTCAGACAGTCCAGCTAGGCCTTGCTGGCCTTCCACTGAACCAGGCTGCAGACGGGGTGCGTCTTCCTCCACAGCCGGCTGCTGTACCCTCGTTTCCTCGTTCACACACACAGACAGACGCACAGAATTGCGTATACAACCTGCGTGTGGCTGAGATGGGGCCTGTGTGCGTATGTGGAATGGTTGTGTGTTGGCGGGTGTGAAGGAGGCTGGGCTGAGCGGCTGCCCTGGCACAGTGTGCTGGGCGTGGGCCTCCCTCACATGTATGGAAGAGGAAGGTTGGGGGAGAGCTGAAGGGAGCCTGGTGGGAGGGAAGCAGACTCGGGAGGGGCCTTGTCGGACCTCAGCCGGGATGTGGGATGTGAACTCTGAGAGGCTGGCTGCAGGATGATTCCCAGGGGAGGTTAGACTGGCCTGGGTTCTGAGGAAATCAGGAAGACCATTCCTCAGCTGCTGGGTCCTTAAAGAATTTAAAATTCTGATTTCTTGTGTTTGGAGCCCTGGGACGCTGAGAGCCCACCACTGCCCCTGCAGTGCCCACTCATCCGCTGGGGCTGGGCTGGGGAGGCAACGCCGAGCTAGAATCCCCTTCCTATTCCTGCTCCTCTCCTGGCGTCCCGGCTCGCACTGCACCTCCTGTCTCTTGAGGGCGTCAGGACCTGTGTCCTAGTTCTAGGACAGTATTCTTTGCCCCTCAAATGCACTCTACCAGCAACGGGACATCATGGAAACACGGAACCCCATTTATTCAAATAACCACAGAGGTTATTTAACACGCCTGTGCCATTTCCTCAGCATCTGCCCCAGGTTCATCGTGACGATGCCCGTCACAGAATGTAGGAACTTAGGAGACCGCTGAGGCCGCTCCTGCATTGTTGCCTGCATCTGCAGTGTAGATGCAGGGGTCGAGAACAAGCCTCCAGAGCTCGGCCATATCTGGTTGAGACACGCCCAAGTGGCTGGATGTGGTGGTACATGCCTTTAATTCCAGCCCTCTAGAGACAGACAGGAAGATCAAACTCTGTGAGTTTGAGGTCAGCCTGTTAGGTAAGACCCTATCTCAAAGAAAGAAAGAAAGAAAGAAAGAAAGAAAGAAAGAAAGAAAGAAAGAAAGAAAGAAAGGAAGGAAGGAAGGAAGGAAGGAAGGAAGAAAGAAAAGAATGGCCAAGGAGGGCTGACTATGTGGCCAAGAGGTCTGTGCGTGTGGTGCACGTCTACCGTGTGTGGTCTGTGCGTGTGGTGCAGGCAGGTCTACCGCGTGTGGTCTGTGCGTGCACGTCTACCGTGTGTGGTCTGTGCGTGTAGTGCAGGCAGGTCTACCGCGTGTGGTCTGTGTGTGCACGTCTACGCGTGTGGTCTGTGCGTGTGGTGCACGTCTACCGTGTGTGGCGCTGGGCACAATCCTCGGTACCTGAGAAGCGAGTGAGGGAGCGAATGCTCCAACACTTCTCTCCGTCTCCGCCCTGCAGTCTGGGACATTCCTCACACTGCCTTTGCTTTCCTGGGCTCCATATACTGGCCTGTCCATGTCTTATCCCGGCCATGTGCCACAGCTCATCTCCCGGGGGAGGCGCATGATCACCCGCAAGGAACAACCCCTCTCCTGTCTTCTGACTCACTTCTGTTACCCTTCTCTGCCTTATTTTCCTTTCCTCACGCTTCTATCTCTCCCCAAACTGGGTTGTCCATTCTGTGGGAACCATGAGTGTTTCATCCGCTTCTGATCTCAGCCCTGAGCTGACGCCAGCGCTGGGCCCCCAGGAGGCTCTCAGTTCTACTCACTTTATGAGTGAAAACTGCGGGACAGTGTGCTGGAGCGCCCTAACTTCTTCCTGGGTGACCTCCTGCCATGTGGCCCCCTCATCCTCTTCAACAACTCACCCCTTCCTGTCTCCTTCCCCTCCAGCCACTGCCCACCTGTACCCAGCTGGGCTCAGCATGGCGAACTTCACACCTGGCAATGGCAGCTCAGCCAATCAGTCTGTGCGCCTGGTCACGGCCACCCATAACCACCTGGAGACAGTGGAGATGGTGTTCATCGCCACAGTGACAGGCTCACTGAGCCTGGTGACTGTTGTGGGTAACATCCTGGTGATGCTGTCCATCAAAGTCAACAGGCAGCTGCAGACAGTCAACAACTACTTCCTGTTCAGCCTGGCATGCGCGGATCTCATCATAGGTGCGTTCTCCATGAACCTCTACACCGTGTACATCATCAAGGGCTACTGGCCCCTGGGCGCGGTGGTCTGTGACCTGTGGCTGGCCCTGGACTATGTAGTGAGCAATGCCTCCGTCATGAACCTTCTCATCATCAGCTTTGACCGCTACTTCTGCGTCACCAAGCCCCTCACCTACCCTGCCCGCCGCACTACTAAAATGGCAGGCCTCATGATTGCGGCTGCCTGGGTCCTGTCCTTTGTGCTCTGGGCCCCCGCCATCTTGTTCTGGCAGTTTGTGGTGGGCAAGAGGACAGTGCCTGATAACCAGTGTTTCATCCAGTTCTTATCCAACCCGGCAGTGACCTTCGGCACAGCCATCGCTGCCTTCTATCTGCCCGTGGTCATCATGACGGTGCTGTACATCCACATCTCACTCGCGAGTCGCAGTCGAGTCCACAAGCATCGACCCGAGGGCCCCAAGGAGAAGAAGGCCAAGACTCTGGCTTTCCTCAAGAGCCCCCTGATGAAGCCGAGTATCAAGAAACCTCCACCAGGGGGCGCTTCTCGAGAGGAACTGCGCAACGGGAAGCTAGAAGAGGCCCCTCCGCCAGCCCTGCCCCCGCCTCCACGCCCGGTGACCGACAAGGACACTTCCAATGAGTCGAGCTCTGGCAGTGCCACCCAGAACACCAAGGAACGGCCACCCACAGAGCTGTCCACCACAGAGGCCACCACACCAGCCCTGCCCGCCCCTACCCTGCAGCCACGAACCCTCAACCCAGCCTCTAAATGGTCCAAGATTCAGATTGTAACCAAGCAGACAGGCAATGAGTGTGTGACAGCCATTGAGATTGTACCGGCCACTCCAGCTGGCATGCGCCCAGCAGCTAATGTGGCCCGAAAGTTCGCCAGCATTGCTCGCAACCAGGTGCGGAAGAAGCGACAGATGGCGGCCCGCGAGCGCAAAGTGACTCGGACCATCTTTGCCATCCTGCTGGCCTTCATCCTCACCTGGACACCCTACAATGTCATGGTCCTGGTGAACACCTTTTGCCAGAGCTGTATCCCTGAGAGGGTGTGGTCCATTGGCTACTGGCTCTGCTACGTCAACAGCACCATCAACCCTGCCTGCTATGCACTTTGCAATGCCACTTTCAAAAAGACCTTCCGGCACCTCCTGCTATGCCAGTATCGGAACATCGGCACGGCCAGGTAGACAGGCAGGTGCCCTAGGAGGTGCTGGTGTCATGAGTGTGTACCGGGGAACCACATGGGCTCACCGGCTGTGGAGGAGCGAGTAGGCGGCCCCATTCTGAGTTCGCATCTGCTAAAGAGAACAGGTCTCTTTACAGTGAGACACAAGAAGCTCTTCGCTGGGTTTGGAGGGTAGATCTCTACCGAAGCCCGGAGCTCAGCCCCGGACGGTCTGAACTGGCACCCCCTGACCCCTATCTGTCACCCTGCCTCAGGAGGATGGGGGACAATGACTGGAGTGGGCAGCGGCTCTGTCAAGGCCAGCCATCAGCAGAGATGGAAGAACCAATAGGAGAGCAGAGGCCAGGAGCAAAGGAGCCAGGCTTGGAGGGGTGGGGTACCCCGTTCTGCTGTAATCGGTGCTTTCCGCCTCCCTGCACCCCCTCCCCCTGCATGTAGGCTCGGTCCTTCCCTGCCCCCAATTCCCTCTCCAGGGTGAGAGATTCAGCCAGGCTGAGGTGCCCACTGACACTTGGTCCCTTCCCTGGCCAGCAGTCACATCTGGATGGGGCAACTGGGAAACCAAGCTAAGAAGCTGATACAGACTACAGGGGACCAAGACTGAGTCAAACAGTAGTGAATCCTCTACCTCTGTAGGAGGGAGGCCCAAGAGAAAGAAAAGAAAGTGTGGTGTGGGGGGTGAACTTGGTGACAGTGCAGGTGAGCCGAGCACCTCCATCTCCCCGGGGAGAACCCTCCAGACTGGCAGGAGCCAGGACCAAGACTCTTAACTAGGTGAGGCATCTGGGTTCTCTTCCCTAACCCCAGCGCTGTGGTTCCCGGGAGAGGTGACACCCAGGGGGCTCTGGAAGACATTCTCATCATAACTGTTCTGCTCTTTCGAGCTGTTGGGAGCACTTCCTAGTAGGCCTCAACTCCCTTCGTCTTTCCCCACCCCAACCCCAACAAAACTCTATGGCAAACTCCCTGGGAAGGGACTTTTATATATTAAAAAAGAAGCTTTTATTGGAGAAAAAATGTGAGTTTTTTTTATTCATTTCTTAACATAACAGGGTGGGGAGAACAAAATGGGGTGCTGGGAATCAGATCCCTCTGGGGAGGTTCAAGCTTCCCAGAATCCCTTGTGCTTGTCCCTCCCCGCTTTGGGCACTTGGTGTGGGGTGAGAAGGCAGCTCAGGGCGTGATTGACAAGGCTGTGGAAGACAAAAGGCACTGGTGGGTTCTATTTTGGGTCCGTGGGAGAGAAGCCTCCTTCAGGGACCCAGGTAGGCCAGAGGCTCTCCAGCATCCTGAGATCAGTCTTTTCCTTTCCCTTTCTTGGCTGGAAAACAAGAAACGCTCTCGTTAGGTGACGGGGTGAGACCCGCCCACAACAATTAAGTACAACAAGGAGAGAAGGTCCTGCCCCCTAGTGGAAGTGGGTGGAAAGGGCAGCCATTGTGATGCCAACTAAGCCTTTTCTTATTCCCGCAACTTTTTAAACACCCCCACCTCTTCTTCTTCTTCTTCTTCTTTTTTTTTAATAGTCTTACTCTGTAGCCTTGAAGTCACGGCTATCTTACTGCTTCAGCCCGGCCTGGTTTTCATCCAGGATCAGAGTATATCTGTGTTTCTCACCTGGGAAGTGGGCAGATTGACCTCTGCCCTGTTGGCCTCAATGGTAATTGTGGGCCAGGCAGCAGCATGGCCCTTTGGGACATCTTTCATATAGTTTTAAGGGCACCCTACCCAGCCCTCCTCAGGTGACAAAGACAGGCCTTTTCCAGGACGAAAATCGGACGATCCAACAGGAAGAGTAGCTCCTACTTGGGCAAAGAGGTTTAGCACCTTCTTCAAGTACCGGCCCTTTTCCAACTCTAAGACCGCTCTGGAAAGATGGCGCGAAGTCCCTAACCAGATCCACAGCCCCACCGTATTCACTGACCTTTGGTCTTCAACTTGGTCTTGGAGGTGCAGGGCTTGGTCACGCGGATGGTCTCCTGGCACTGGGCATTGTAGCGAGCCTTCTTCAGGGTCCCTTGGCGCGCTCTGGTGCCGGTGCCTCCATCACACGACCCCCAGTTCTCAAACTTGTACTTGCAGTCGGCTGATGGGAGAGTGGCCCCACAGGGTGAGAAACAGGAGGCTTGTGGCTGCCCCCTGACTTCCCGCCCTCCTCCTGTGCCCCACCTCACCTCCAAATTCCTTCTTCCAGTTGCAGGGCACCTTGCAATGGATGCGCTGGGTCTGGGCTCCGCAGGCACCCTCGCGGAAACCCATGCCGCAGTCTTTGCTGCTGGGGATGCAGGGTCCCCAGGTCCACTCCGAACACTCGCTCCCCAGGCTGCCCTTCTTCACCTTGTCTATAAAGTGCAAGGAACAGAGTTAAGACTTGGCGTGCACAGAAACTCCCTGGGAGACTAATCCCTAGGTCCTGCGGCCTCACTTGCCCTCCCGGCCTTTTCCTCCTGAGCCTTTTCCTCCTGAGCCCTCCCGGCCTTTTCCTCCTGAGCCCTCCTGGCCTTTTCCTCCTATCCCATCACCTTTCTTTTTGGCCACGGCGGACGTGAGCGCCAGGAGGGCAAGAAGGGCTAGAAGGAAGACGCCTCGGCGCTGCATCCTAGAGGAAAAGTTTGGGTTAGAGTTTCCTGCCCATTCCCTTCCCCGACGGGGACAACACCTTCCACCCCGACTTGGCCCACTTTCCAGGCCCAAGGGGTCCGGCCGACAAGGGGCCGACGGAGGGAGGACTTGAAGCCGCAATTCCGGGACTCAGCATAGCCCCCCACCCCCGCCTCAGTCTCTTTGGTGGCTGCAGCCTGGAGGGACTGAGGCCGTGGCTGCTGGGCGCGCTCACTCGCTCACTGTCGGTGGATGCTTCTCTCCCTCCCGCTACAGCTACGGTCCGCCAAGACCGCTGCGGCCCCTTTTGTCTCCAGAACCGGTCTGAGCCGGTCACATGGGCCCCCGCCCCTCCCCCCACTCCCATGGAAGGACCCGCCCCGCCCCCTCCCCTCAAACCCGCACCTCCTCAGACCCCCTAGTCCCCGCCTCCTCTCCCGCCCCTAGCTGCTCTCCCGCGCCTGCCCCTCACCTCTGATCTCTTGAATCTCTGCCCCTGGAGCTCAGTCTTGCCTCTCCACTCCTGGCTCAAAGTCCTCTCACCGGCTCTGGAGCCGCAGCACTCTTCCTCCTCCCGCCTCCCCCTTCCCTGGTTTGGACTTGTCCCTTTTGCCGACAGCTCTCAGGACACTGCTTCGCTTGCCCTCTGTTGAGCCCCGAGTCTGCCTGGTGTCACAAACCCAGGAAGGTCTCTGCATCCATGATGCTAACCTTCGGGGCCTGGGGCCTGGCTCACCTCCTACTTGTGGGGGATCAGATCACTCAGAGGGCAAGGAGGGGCTTTGATGTTTACGGGACCCCAGTTGGCTGGGGACGAGCAAAGCTCAAGACCCTTTTTTCTGGTGAGGTTGGGAGTGGGTGGGGGCGCAGGCCTGAGATTGGTAAACCTTGTAGCTGACAGGGGCTGTCTGAGAAGTTCCAGACCAGGCTTCACTGAAGGTGATAACCGTCCACCCCTGACCCTGGGGCCTCAGGCTCACCTCAACCAGTCGTCCCCCCGACCCCCCCTCCACACATGCCAGGGGGAGGGGACTGCGGTACTGCTCCAGGGCACAGGGCCAAGGGACTGAAGAACCCGCCCCCACCCCACCCCTTTTACTTTCATTGTTGTCGCCCCAGCAGGAGCGGGAAGCAGAGGAAATCAGCTCCGCCTCTGGCCCTGGGAGCCTAAGCCGCTGGGCAGAGGTCAGGAGCTGGGCATACCCATCCCAGCTAGGTACCCCTGTAACGGTCTGAGATACTGGTGACCATTCCCCAACTCTAAGTTAACCAGGCACACGCCGCTGCTTATCAGAGACCCACACAAGGAAAAAGAAAACAAGAAAGGAAAAAAAAATTCACTTTACTGAGTCACACCCAGCTGTAAACAAGTCACCGGGGGAGCCCCACCCCCCACCCCAGGCCATACAGTCTGAAATGAAATGACTGGGTACATGAGGATCACCAGGGTAGGTGCCAAGCAGGGCCTCGGGCAGGTGAATACAGCAGGCTCTTCAGTTTCTGGGAGGCCCTGGTGGGTGGATGGGTCAGAGCGCAGGGCTAGGCACCCCGAAGCCTCTTGACAGTCCAAAGGGCCAGGCGGCTAGCAAACGGCCTGCTGTGAGCAGGCCTTCCTGTCGGTGCTTTCTGTCCTGCCTTCCATCTGCCATGGTGTGGGGAAGGCTGTCCGAAGGGATCCGCCAGCCCATCTTCTGTTCCCCATGAACACAGGGACAGGCGAGAGTCCAGCTCCTCAGAGTCCAGCCCTAGATCTGAGTGGCTTCTCAGGGGTGGCACGGGGCTCCTTCCCTGGGGCAGGGTCCCCCCATGGCCACCCGACAGGAATGTGGCAGTGAGGTGGGCAAAGGACGCTGTGGTCCTCTGTAGTGTCCTCCACTACACAGCCGTCTCCTGGTCCTCACGCTGGATCATCTGGTAGTGCTGTCTGTTCTCCAGGTAGGCAGCCAGCTCTGTGTCCTGCGCCTTCTCAGCTCGCTGCCGGGGCGTGTCGCCCTGGAAAAGGGTGGAAAGGCCCCACAGCCTTAAGAGAGGGCCTGTGGGGGAGGGGTAACCTCACAGGTTACAAGGTTTTCCCCTCCCGGCTCAGGTTTCTCAAGGCCTGGATTGTGTTGGAAACAGCTTCAAGTTTCCTAGCCCTCCCCCCAATTTCTGGAAAAGGGCGGGTTTGGGTTCTGCCAGGCTCACCTGCTGGTCTGTCTTCATGAGGGAGGCCCCAGCTTCCACGATGTAGTGGCAGATGGTGCGCTGGCCCAGGGCAGCTGCCTGGTGGAGACAGGTCTCCCCACTGGGGGGCAGGGGCTGCTTGTGGACACTTTCCAACAGCCAGCAGAAACGGCAGGAGTTTGACAAGAGGGGGAGGGGTGCCCCATGCTGGCCAAAAGGGGTTCTTGGGCTTTGGGTGACCAGATAGTTAGGACTGAAGGAAGGTGGTTTTCAGGTGGGCCAGGGGCTCTGTCCCAGTACTCACTTCTCCTCCACAGCATCAAGGATCTCCGGCGGTGCTGAAGGAGGAAAGGCACTCAGAGCCTGACAGCCCCTTTCTTCCCACCCAGGCCCAGGCCCAGGAGCACAGCTTACCATGGTCCAGCAGATAGCGGACCACTTCCTTACTGCCAGTGCTGACTGCGTGGTGCAAGAGTGTGCGGCTCTGCTGGTCCCGGTGCATGAGGTCACCTCCTGCTCGGTGTAGCTCCTGGAGCTGAGGACAATGGGCAGGGCAGAACAGAGCTGGGTCTCCCTCCCTTCACAAGCATGGACCCAGGCATAGGCTCACACAGGTCACACTAGGAGCCTTTGAGGGTTTTGCTGTTTTGAGACAGGTTGTCTCTATGTAGTCCTGGCTGTCCTGGAACTATGTAGACCAGACTGGTCTTGAATTCACAGAGATCCTCCTGCCTCTGCCTCCTGAGAGCTGGGATTAAAGGTATATGTCACCACAGGTGGCTTCTGAGGGTCTCTTTGGGTGTCATTAGAGATACAAGTCTTCTCATCTGACATGTGAGGACTCCCCCAAAATGTACAGCCAACCAAGCTCTGGAGCCTGCAATCCCTTTAAGATTGACTCCGGTCCAAGTACCAGGGACAGGAAGACTGGGTGAGTAGCCCCTAGCAGCAAGTCACCTAGACAGGGCAATCCCATATGGAGGACCAGCTGATGACAAGTGCCTAATACCGCCCAGGGTGAGGGCTCCAGGGGCAAGGCTAAGCTCTGACTGGTACCTTGCAGAAGTCATTCCTCTTGGCAGCTTCAATCAGCTCTTCACCTGCACAGAACATCTGTCCATCAGACCCTGAGGTCAGCGGCCTGGGCATGGCTTGATGTGTGAACAGTGTGTGTGATGATGGACCACTGTCCAGGGTAGGAACCCGCTGGGGCACATGATAACACGGGACTCAATGGCTGACTCCCACTGAACCTCACACATAGACCAAGGAAAGGAGAGTGGCAGGACCCTGGGGAAAGACCTCACCTTGAGGTGGTGCAGCATCCCCCTGCAGTGACCTGCAAACAGAACAGGGTGAGTTGTGACCCAGCGCACATATTGGCCTTCATTTTTTCAAGTCTATTGAGTGCTTCCTGCACATCACACACTGTGGAGAACAAGCAGGGAGCTATACGGCTCCCATCCGAGCTCAGAGACATAAGCCAACCAGGAAATAAGGAATCTGGAAGTGCTATTGAACACAACGGGGCAGGGTGACCAAGCAGATGGGAACTGGAGACTGGATACTTCCCAACCTTCAGGTAGCATTCCTGGAAAAGATTCCCCCTGAGAGGGAGAAGCCAAGCTGAAACTGAGGGTTGGGGTGTCTGAGAAGGGGCAAGTGGGAGGCAGCAAGTCCAAAGTCCAGAGGATGGCCTGGGACCTCAGGGGACAATGGACAGACAGGCCAGGAGGCCCAGGACTGAAGAGCTGCTGAGGAAGAGGGATTCTGGGCTGGGGAGTGGCCTGTGTGGCCCTGCACTTGTTCAGGGAGCATCCTAGCAGAGGGACAGAGCCTGCCCCTGAGTGCTCACGCTGTGTCTAAAGGCGGGAATTCCAAGCTGCAGCTAGCAGACAGGGTTTAAAGCTGGGGGAGTGGTGGTCAGGGGGGCTCTGGGACTCACCGGGGTATGGGGGAGCAGGGGGAGGCAGGGAGCGGGGAGGTAGGGGTGGGGAGGTCAGGCCGTGCTGATGCCCCCAGCAGCTCAGGGTCTAGGATATAAATCTCATCCTGGGCAATCTCCGTCACATAGTTGAGGTGCTCCTGTGGGGGAGGGTTAGAACTGAAGGTCAGTGCCAGCATGTATGGCCTTTAGTCCCCAGAGGTGGGGGTGGGGCTAGGGCAGCAAGCAAGGCAGCAGAGCTAGAGAAACCTCTCTCAGAGCGGGAACCTGGGGGGAGGTGGTGGGAGAGTGAGGTAGTGTCTTCCTGCTCAGCCCGGTCCCTCACCTCTATATGTGGCATTCACCAGCGCAACAACTACTTCCCACTGCTAAGCCAGGTGATCTAGCCCTGGCTATTTTCTTCTGCTTCCCTGGATAGCACTGTGCTTCGAGGCCCTCCCTTCCACCCACCCAGAAAGCCTTTTCTGGGTATGCCAGCTTTTTCTGTTGGCACCATCCCTGTGCATTCCTGGAGGGTGGGGACATGTGATCCATAGCCACAAGCATGTGAGGATATTATGGCCGTGAGGCTGTGGTGAGCATGCTTGGCTTGTGGGGCTAACCCTGAAGCTTGCCTGCAGAGGTGCGAGTGTTCAGGGTACAGAAACTGGCTGTGGAGGAGAAGGCCTGCAATGCTTACCTGCGCCCTGTCGATCCTGTAGAAGCGGCTGGCAGTGGTAGCTGGAGAAGAGATGCCTCGCTGAGTATGGGGAGCATCCTTGGCCCAGCCCAGGTTCCCCCAAAGGAGGGCTAGCGGGACAGAGCCCAGCGCTGCCTAGAATTGACCCTTCAAGGCAGACTCACCATCCAAGAAACACCACTTAGAGGATAGTTGGTGGCATGTCGGGGACTTGGCTCCAGCGCCATCGGGCTCCTGTGACAGAAGCAGAAGTCAGAGTGGGCCACGGATAGTCTGGGGAGGAAGCTCAGGTGCCCCCACCTCGTCCTGCTTACACCACTTACCTGCTGGAGTCTCTCAATGTGGGCACGGCAGAGCTCCAGGTCGCTGTCCCCAGGGACCACCACAGTGCCCAGAGGCACAGCTGGAAGACAGAGGGGCCTTTCAGCAGCTGGCTGCATGTCCCTGCTGCATGTCTGCAGGCAGCCCAGCAGCTGCTCACCCCTCCCTGCCCAGTCCTGCTGCCACTCACAGGCCTCCTTGAGCTGCTCCTTGTCATAGTGCAGAGCCTCATAGTCGTGCATGCTGACCCTGCTCACCTGGATCCGCAGCTGCTCGGGGACTGGCTGCTGACTGTAGGGTGGGACCAACGACAAGGACCTCAGCCAGGACCCTGCCTAGGACACCAGTCCTCAGCTGGGCACAAGACCGGATGCTAAGAGGACCATGCTAAGCAAGTGCTCTCTTATCACCAGACTACAAGTCCCCTTTGCAGGGCAGGAAACCAAAGCTCAAGTAAGTCAGTGCTTGGTTCCAGGCCCTCGGTACACGATGGCTACCATGGACCTACTCGCTGTGCAGTGGGGCAGCACTCCGGCGCTTGGCCTTCTGCACCATGGTGGCCTGGTTGCGCAGGGCGATTCGAATACGTGATGCCGCAAGCTTGCAGGGCTCACCGTCCACCTGCACAGGGATGGCCTTGGCCGTGGTGAGCAGCACTTCTCGGCACTGGGTCAGCCGCTCTCCGTGCCCACCCACCTGCAGTGCTGCCTGTGGGCAAAGAATGCTCAGGTCAAGTGGTGGGGGCAAGAAAAACACACGAGGGAACCCCAGACGATGCAGACTAGAGGGAAGAGGAAGAAGGCCAAGATGTCCAGCTAGGTGACTCAGGCCAAGAACGGAGCCGAGGTGAGCACCCAACCCTGGCTGGTGAAGGGAAAAGAACAAACAGTTTAGGACAAGGAGCACTCACGAGGGATGTCATGGTGAAGCCGATGACCTCGAGGTAGCCATCATCATGCCTCTGGGGCTCGAAGTCATGGTGCTCCCCAGGGTGGCCCCAGGGCATGGTGCCTGCACAGTACCTAAGGGGAGGGAACAGATGGGCTCTGGCATGGACTCAGCAGGATGGAACAGCAGGGTGCACAGGAGCCCCATTTCCTTACCTGGGGATGTTCAGAAAAACGATGCACTGGGGTTTCAGGTCCTGGATCTTGGGGGTTAGGTCTATTCCATCACACTGGACACAGGAACAGGGGAGTGTTGGAGAACACGTGTACCCTAATGGCCTCCCTCCTACTGGGCTCCACTGTGAGTCCGCCAGCCCTCCTTACCACCACGCGGATATGCTTGGCTAAGTCCTTGGAGCTGCCCATCAGGAAGTCAGAGAAAGCCGTCTGTTGGAGACAGGGTGTGATAAACCACTATGTCTGTCATAGGAATCCTGTGAGCTGCACATGGGGCGGGGGGCTGGCTAGCCCCAGACTTACCCCAGCGTAGAACATCTTATTCCGAAAGCGGCTGTTGAACTTCTCTGGGTTGGCTTCTGTAGAGAAAGGGACGGTGATGTCAGTCAATCTGCGGGAGCTTCCCACGTTAGGAGAGGAAGACTAAGAGAGCAAGATCTGGCCCTCCTAGGAACACTCTTGAACCTCCCGTGCCTGCCCTGGCCCCCAGGTCCCCTCAGCAGGAGGATGCTAACCTCGGGACTCATGGAATTCCAGGGTGACGTGGGCATCAAAGCCCAGACTGAAGTAGTTGTTGAAGACATCCAGGGGCAGCTAGAAAAATGTCAAGGTGTAGAAACGAGGAGGTGACTCCCAGGTGCCAGCCGTGGTCGTTATTACCCCTGCTCAGTCCATCTACTTCTGAAGGCCTCTGTGTCAAGTCAACAGTGTGCCAAAGCTTCCCCAGCACCCCTGTAGCGCTGCTGGGGAGGCCCTGCTCTTCTAGCTGGCAGCGGGGAGGGCAGCTCCTTGGATGACCTGCTGGACCCTTGCAGCACTGCACCTCACATGCCATGTACTGCATCAACTCCAGAACAGAGGCTGGCATGCAGGAGGCCCTCCCTAATCATGCACCAGGAGGCTGAGTAAGAAACCAGCCTGCAGTAGGCACCATACGCTCCTGGGACAGTAAAAGGCCAGAATGTGTAGAACTGGAAACTCAGCTTTCCAGAACCCTGGAGATAGTAAATGTAAAGAGTCCAGCCAGATCCTTAAGAATCCAGGCTCAGCCAGCACTCAGGAGGCAGAGGCAGGCGAAGCTCTGTGAGTTTGAGGCCAGCCTGGTCTACTGGAGCTAGTTCCAGGACAGGCTCCAAAACTACACAAAGAAATCCTGTCTCGAAAAACCAAAAAAAAGCCTGGCGGTGGTGGCGCACGCCTTTAATCCCAGCACTCGGGAGGCAGAGGCAGGCTGATCTCTGTGAGTTCGAGACCAGCCTGGTCTACAAGAGCTAGTTCCAGGACAGGCTCCAAAACCACAGAGAAACCCTGTCTCGAAAAACCAAAAAAAAAAAAAAAAAAAGAATCCCAGACCCAGGCTCACAAACCCTTGCCCGGTAGCCCTAGCTGACCTACCTGGTCAGTGGCTCCATCATCTCGCTCCTCAGGGCCTGCCTCAGGGTTGGGCTCTGCGCGGAGGTCCCAGCGGTCCAGCTGTACCACATTCCCCTCCTCGACATGGGAAAGGATCTTTGACACAGGCTCATCTGTGTAACCCTGGTGGAAAGAGGCTGAGACTGAGCTTTCTCTGTGGTCAATGGATCTACTTCCCCTCTGGCAACCCTGTTCTAAAGGGCACTTACCCCACCCCAGTTGAGGGTGCGGGCCAGGTCATTGCCGGTACCCAGGGGCAGGATGGCCACAGGGGGCGGTGGCTTTAAGCGCAGCTGGTCCAGGGTGGACAGAATCCAGCCAACCTGGAGGAGGACAGAGCACAGTGGATCAGTCAGGTCCGCGACGGGGGAGGAGCGCAGCAGGCATGAGGCCCACTTACAGAACTCACCGTGCCATCACCCCCGCAAGCCAGAATCCTCAAATTATGCACTTTGCGGTACATTTCCAGCCTGGGCCAGGGGAGGACAGGAATAGAGTCAGGAGACATGTGACATACCAAGAGCGAGGCAAGCCTCCACTGTCCCGGAGAACCTGGTAGAGTACTTACGCCTCCTTGGGTCCCCCCTGGCTCAGGTCAAAGACTTGTCGAGGATTCAGATACCACAGGAAAGACTGGATGATCTTAGCGCCCTGTAGGGACAGCCACGGGACAATGAGAGGAGGGGGATGGGGGCAGAAAGAGGGGACACGATTGTGGGAACCAGTTACAATAAACAGTGAGATGGGACAAGGTCCTCTCAGGGTTCCTGGAAAAGCAAGGTAGGAGCTGAAGCCCCAAATGGTTGCTGAGAACCACTATGGACAGGTGGGTATAATACTGGCCCCCTAATCACTTGTGGCTTGTGGGTGGAAAGCTTATGCCTACCTGGTTGCCCCCACTCTTAGGGTTCACAAACACCAGCAGGGGCTTCATGAGGGGGGATGGGGTAGGCCTGATGATGAAGGGTCTCCAGCGGCCTTCCTGGGAGACAGAGAACCTATTAGGCGCTTTCCTGTCCTGGAGGCCCTAGCCTACATCCCCCTCAGCATCCCCTGCCACAAGTGAGCACACCCACCCTCAATAGCAGACCTTCCACGGGCCTGTCTACAAGGAACCTCCTCAGACCTCCAGAGCCAAACTGAGTCAGGCTAAACTGGCGGTATGGTCCAAGGCCCTGAACTGGTTCCTGGTCCCAACCACCCCAGCCCAGGCCTAACCTCGGGTCCTTTCTTGCTAGATCTCCTCTTGAAGGATGCTCTCTTTTTCTTCTTGCTGGCCTTGAGGGTATTCTGCAAAGGAATCGGGTGTGGATGAGCCGTGACTGGTGGGTCCCATGGGGAGAGGTGCTAAGAATAAAGGAAGAACTCACCTGGGGCCTCCTCGCCCGTAGGATCCAGGTGGGTGGGATGACCACAGCTGCGTGCACCCCCAGGGAGCAGGGCTCCTCAATCTGCTGCAGCATGAAGCAGGACACCTTGCTGTGGTACTGGAAGACAGCATTGGCAGGCTGAGCTGTGCCAGGCTGAGACTGGGGACCCACCAGACGCTCAGCTCAAGCTCACAGAGGCCACTTACCGCCTGCTTGCACCAGGAGCAACTGATGGCCACAATCTCCTTGCTGTGGAAGGTAAACTTCTGCTGGAAGCCCTGTGTGGACAAGGTGGCCCAGTAGAGACCCAGCTGTACTGCCGCCGCCGGCCTCTCCTCACCCATCCTATCTGTGCCATGTCCACAAATCCCTGTCAATGGCTACTGTGTGTAGGGCATGGGGAAAGTGTGGAGGGCTGAGCCCATTCTTGAGAGTCTGTCTTATTGAGGGAGACAGACCAGCAGTCAACAAGTGGGTGAGCAACAGGGCTGTGTAGGAAAGTTGTTCTGAGCACCCAGTCCATAGGCCACTGTCCTCAGGAGGCAGGAAGCCTGCTGCCTAACTCAAGACATCACACACGACACTTCCTAAGTAACCACTGAATTAATGAATGAAAAGTCAATATAGTTCTCAAAGGGTCCCTTGCTAGTTCAAAAGTCAAACCCCCATCTCCCCTCCCTCGCTTACACCCGAGACTCCACTCTGGAGCTACTATCAGTGCCCACACTGGATGCACAGGGGCAGTGAGCAGCATGTAGCTGGTGCCTTCACACACGGCCCTTACCTTTCCACAATGCCGACACTTGCCATCCTGGCGTCGCCTGTGTACCCAGTGGTGTCTTACGAAGGTTGGCTGGGGGAAGGGAGGAAGGTCATGGGAACAAGTGAGGGACTGGACAGGTGCAGCCCTGAATTCAGTCCAGAGGAAGCCCTCTACAGTCCCTTGTAGAAAGATGAAAGGGGCTGTAGACTTTTCTCCATGGCCTGGAGGGAAGGCTGAACCCCTTAATGCACATTCTGAACTCTATCCCTCTGCAGACAGGACCCCAGAACCTCAGCCTAGAAGCTGAACACCCTGGTGGCACTCATCCCTCAGAGCCTGGGCCGCCCTGCTCCTCAGGGCTGCACACTCACCTCACGGACATTTCTGGAGCCTGATTCACGTAAGGATGGCTTACAGCGAAAATTAATCTGTGAAATATTGCAGTGAGCACCAAAATGTCAGAGCCTTCTTTGGACAAGGTCTCCTAGAGTCAACCTCACAGGCAGGTAGAGGCCCAAATCACCCCAAGAGCCCCTTGGAACACGACTACCCCCTCTTAGAAGCCCTCCTGACCACTGATCATAGGGGTCTTTCCTGTTTTTTTACTTAGGATACAAGGATGGAGAGGCTAGGTTGGAGGTGTGGGTAGTGAGTGGGAGCACTATTTGATCATCTGTTTCCTTCTCACCCTCCAGCATTCCCAGCCCAATCCCTCCTGTGGCTGTGCAGACTGACCCCTGGAGACCCTTAGCCAATGTTCTAAGCCCAGGTTCACTGTCACCTTCCATAACAGGGTTGCATTTTCCTTCTCTCTCTCCCTCCTTCTATCTCTGTCTCTCTCGTATCTCTGTCTCTCTCTGTCTCTCTCTGTCTCTCTCTCTGTCTCTCTCTCTGTCTCTCTCTGTCTCTCTCTCTCTCTCTCTCTCTCTCTCTCTCTCTCTCTCTCTCACACACACACACACACACACACACACAGAACACATAAACCAGGTTGGCTTTGAACTTGAAGAGACTGTCTTGCCTTCTAAATGCTGGGCTCACAGGCAGGCCCCACTGTGCCCAGCCAGGACCACGTGTCTACTTTTCTCCTCACCAGTGCCTGCTTTGGTCTCAGAAGAACCATAGAAAAGCCTCACTGTACAACTCAGGGACTGGAGGAATCAGCCTAAACTAGCCTTGCGGGGGCATTTATGTTCTTAAAGACTTTGTCATATGATGGCCTGGACTTCCGCAAACATGGGAGCGCGTATCTTCCACTCCAGGCCTAGTCCCTGTCTTGACAGGCACCTGGTCTGGCATTCCCCTTTCCTCCCACAGACACGCTTAGAAAATGGTCCTTGGGACATATCTCCCAGTGGTAGCACAGCAGGAACACAGGTGGGCCCACCACAGCTGAGCATCTGGAAGTTTGACTGTTTTGTTTTTATTTTCTAGAACTGGAGACTGAAGCTAGGACATTGCAATACAATACAGCTGCTGGAGCCCACGCCCACAATGGCCCCTTTGAATGTTAGGCTAGATGTGGTAAAATGACACACTGGTCACCACCTGTTAACTCATGCTATTGGGTAATAGTCAATGAACTGCACTTGTAGGCCATGCTCACTCTAGAGTAGGGTACTACAGCTAACAAATGGGGAGAGGCAGGGCTAAAAGCAAGCACCTGACTCAGGGGCTTTGCTACTGTGCTTGGTGGGTCATTCCTGGCATGCCATGCTTGTGTAACAGGTGTGGATGTCAAGAATGCATCAGCATCCCAAGGCGAGGGCACAGATGGCTGAGCAGCTGCACGTACCTTCTCCAGCTGTTCAATGCATGGGGTGTGCACCACAATCTTACAGGCTGCACACTTTCTTCTGGGCACTGACTTCTGCTGCAGGACACAAAGAGGGGAGGCCCTGAGGCACCAGGTAACTTTACCTGAGATACCACCTCAGAGCAAGCAAAGAACACGTTCAATGTGTGGGGATTCCAGTCCCAGCACCTGTCATTAAACATGACCCCCTTCCTCTCACCCCGGAGCAGCCCACAGCAAGTGCAAGCAGTGAGAGCAGTGCCCACCAAGGGCTGCAGCTGTTGCCTTGGAGGTCTAGACCCACTCCACCACCAGGGGGCAGCAGGCCCCACTGAGCTCACTCACCAGCATCCTAGCTACGCAGTACTGCTCCCCGACATAGCAGAAGTCACCGGACACGTTGGTCTCAAACCAGATGTGCTCCCCATACGCTGCTGACTCCTAACCCATGGGATGAGCAGGCTCAGTGCTTATCTGTCACCCCAATCCTACCCATCACCTCCCGAGAAAAGCCTGCTATAGCCACCACAGTCTGCTTTCGTCTCTTGTTTTCCAAACTGCTTTAAGCCTGGCTCAAAGGCTGCTGCCTCCCCCTTGGAAGTCTGCCCAGACATGGGGACTTCTTTCCCAGTGGCCCACAAGCCCTGGGTCCTGACTGCTCAGGAGGATCAGAAGCCAGCAGGACTGGAACTGAGGAGTAGCTTCCTATCCTGCCTAGCACACAGATACTCACACTCCAGTCCACAGTGCTCCGGATCTGCCGCTCAGATTCACCACACGGGGCCCCAGGCGTGGGAGGAGGGGGTGCCAGGTGCTGGAGGCCTGACTTGGTGATGGCTTTCCTACAGAAAGAAGGACAACTGAAGGCCCAGTGCCAGCTACCCAGAAAAACGGCTTACAGCGACTGCCACAAAGTACGAGAGAAGTCCACAGAGGTCTGAGGCTCTTCAGCTCTTTCAGCACTGCCCCAAGCTGCTTCCAAGAGGGCCACCCCCAGACGAGGTAGAGCTTCAAAGCCCTTCCTCTGAGCTAGCCCCAAGGGGGCTACACCACAAACCCTGATGACCTCTGCTATACCTACATAAGCAGGGTGTTCCAGGGCTGGGGTCCAGCTGACTTCCGCCTTAGAGCTACCTGGCGTCTGCGTGACAGTGGGCGCGCACGGGCAGGTACCATGAGGCCTGATGCAGTGCCCGAGGCTCTTTGGCTTCGGCCCCCAACACTAGGGTGTTGGCCTGAGGACCACCTTTGGCTGAGGTGACGATAGTGCCCATGCAGGCCCCAAAGAGTATGGCCATACACCACATCGGCAGGGAGCAGGTGGGAGGAAGCCCTGCGCAGGCACCGGGGTATGGGAAGCAATGGCCAGGTGCCCTGGTGCGAAGAGGGCCTTGGTGTCCTGGAGCCCGGTTTGGCATCACTTGATGCCCCAGGTGTCTCATCTCCCTCCTGGGCACCTTCCTCCTCTTTCATGCCCACAATCCCAGGCAAAAGCACAGGTGCACCCAGAAGCTGGGCCCCAACAGTGGCAGGCTGTAGGATGGGCACCATATCCACCATGAAGCGGGGATTGCAGGCAGGGGGTGCAGTGCTGGAGCGCCTGCGGCTGGCACTTTGGGTGCCCACCCCGCAACTGGGGAAACAGCCCTGGAGCTGTGCACTGGAGCGGCGCCTCTGGGCCAGTGAGGAGGAGGCCTGCCCTGCAGGAGAGCGGCGTCGAGCCTTGCCTGTGGGCAGCCCCATACCACTGGACGGCTGCAGCCTCTGTCCAGGACCTGGTGCCTTCTGCTGGAAATGCCTCCTAAAGAAGGGCTCCATACCAGGGGCTGTTGGGCATACAGACTCGGAGTGTCAGGAGCTGAGCCAAGCTGAAGCCCATCTGTGCCCCATGAGCAAAGAAGGGACACTTAGGTGCTAGGCATGAGGACAGTTTGGCCTCCATTAAAATGCTTGCAGGTATCAGATGAGCAGGGAACCCAGGCTTACAGCTACGGGAAAGCAGACACTGTTCCTGGCTAGGATTCCCTAAATTCTACCCCAGGAGTTTTTGGGAGATGGGGCTTTACCTGCCCAGGCACTAGAACCAACAGAGACCTGAGCCCAAAGGGTCTTCATCTACCTTGCCAGAAATGAAAACAAAAGGCAATCTGGGACCCAGACCATGCCTACATGGACCATAGGGCCCTGGAGTCTTTCCCTCTCATCTAACCTTCCTTTTGCCCCAACATGGAACAGGTTGGGCTCCTCTCCTGGGATACAGTACAACTAAATGAATGAATGAATAAACCAACAAACTCAGGCTATCTGCGAAGGATCTCAGTCCTGAGAAAATCTGTATCCTCAGCGTCAACCTTGGGTCCAGACATTGGGAAACCAAGCTTCAGAGAGTTAGAAAGGCACCCTCTCCATCCCCAGGAAAGAGTGCTCTGTCTTAACTTGGTAGATGCAGTAAGAGGCTTAGGTTAAAAGAAGAGCCTTTTGAATCCTGGATGCCATGTATATACATCTCTAAGAACTTCCTGGTACTGAGTGGGTGTCTCCCTTTTCTAGAAAGCAGAGTGTGGACATCCCAAAGTGTGATGCCTGAAAACCTCTAAGTCTTCCTGCCGAGGGACCCAATGCACCATTGTCCCAGGCTTGAAGCCTCAGGCTAATAATTCTAAGCTTGAGATGACCCAGACTGCCTCCTGCAGGAAAGCAGGGGCCTTGGTCTCCACCCCTGGTGTGTACCAGACCATGTGAGCTCTCTGAGACCCTTCCTTTCACCTGCTTCCCTATTCTACCTTTCCTCCTTCCCAGGCCACTGGGATCAGCTTCCTCTGCTTACACCTCTTCTACTTGAGGATGGCAGGAAGCTCCCAGTCAGCTGAGGGTGATAGCTCCAAAGAACAGCCATGGAAGCCCAAGACACAGTCATGGAACAAGTCACAGACATGAACGAGTGACAGACAGTTTCTGCTGAAGCCCAGAGCAGGGGCGAAGTACCCTTAACCATTAATGGGCAAGGGGAAGGACAGTCTGGGAGCACAGTCCCTCCTGATATATGTAGCACCTGATCTCCCCAATCCTCCATCCATCCTTGTCATGGGTCTTGGGCAAGTAGCTTCAAGGCCGGTACAGGGTGTAACAGAGAAGGAAGTGGGCCCAGGGACGGAGCTCCCGCAATCAGTGAGCTGTGCTGGGAAAGCAGCGTTAAGACTGCACAGGAGGTGAGTTCCAGAAATGAAAGAGCAGACACTAAGGGCTGCTTTCCTCCCAAACACAGGGACATCCAGCTAATACTGACTGAGTCCACTATGTACACGCACGCACGCACGCACGCACGCACGCGCACACAGTGCCTGCTGAGGAAACTAAGCCACAAAAGGGTAGCATACACAAAGCCCACAGGCAGACAGTACAGAGTAGATGTGGAACCCTGGATCTGTCCCCAGGGATGGGTAGAATACAAGGTTCCCTTGGACCCTGGGACAGGATGAGATGGGCTAGAGAAAGGGCCCACAATATTAGCGCCCATCCTGCTCGCCCAGCATCTACTGTGACAGGCCTTGGTAAGCCCTTTATTATCTCACTGACTCCACTGCGCCCTCTGAGGTAAGAACGAGGTTCAGTGTTGAGAGCATGCCCAGAGTCTGGGCCCTGTGACCATGCCTACTTGAGTTTGGGTCTACTTTCTGGAAGCTGCAGGCCTCACTGCCTGCTGCCGCCAGGGCCCTTGCCTGCCAGGTCTCCACTAGGGTGTCAGCTTCCCCCAGCACTACAGGCCCCGCTGTGACAGCTGCCCAGCCTGGAGGAGATTAGTCACCCGGACACATCACACCGCCTGATGCTAGTGTCACCCAGAAAACAAAAGGCCACAGTTGGTGTGGGGGAGGTACTGCTATGCTCTCTGGGCAGTGGTAAAGGCTGGGCCCTCCCTGCAGACCTGCATGACAAGATAAGAAGGAAGCAGCTCTTGTTAGGACACATGCCAGTTTACACGTATGACTTTAGAACCCACACGCTGCTAGGTGCTCCAAGACACACCTGTAACAAGTGTTTCCTCAGCTGCCCAGGGGTGCAGCCTCCCAGTGGAACACAAGGCCAAGCTAGTGCAAATGACCACACACCATGGACCTCAGTTTCCCTGTTTGTTTAAGACTGTTAAGATTGTTTGACATCTTAGGAAAAGCTCCCCTGCTGGGCACTACCACCACCAAACACCATTGGGTTCCCACAGCCCCTCCTGCGGGTCCCATGTTTCCTGTTCATCTCATCTCTATAGAAACTTTGGTCTACTGGCCAGAGATAGCCTGACTCCTCACTTCCTATCTCTGAGAGGCTCCTCCAGGACCTAACCAGAGGCCCAGCTGGGCCTGGCAGCTCCTGCCTATTATCCCCGCACTTGGGAGGCTGAAACAGGAAGCTGTAAGTTTGAAGCCAACCTAGGCTACACAGTGAACCCACGTCAGCCTGGGCTCCAGTACGTAACTGTCTTAAAAAAGAGATTATAACAACAATAGAGCTCAGCACCTTTAATCCCAGTGCACTTCTGTAAACTAGAGCCACCCTGTTCAACAAAGAGTTCCAAGACAGCCAGGGCTATACAGTGTGACTCCATCTCAACTGATGAATTTAATTAGAAAACAAAACAAAACAAATAAAAGAAGCCCTGTTTGGGCCTGAGTTCTCCCACGGTTCAGCTATGAATGACCACTTCTCACCTCATTCCGTGTCACCTCCACACACCACATGGTACATGCAAAGTTCTTGGGGGAGGTCCCGGAAGATTCTCATATAGCAAAATGGGTCCCCCCCCCCCCCCCGGCCCTGCCCAGGCTGCCAGGTCTTGTCTGGAGCAGCCAGCCACACTCAAGGAGGACAACACAAAAATGGCTCAGAGGGCTCCACTAATCTCCACCTGACCCCGAGGATCCTGATGAGGACGGGGCCGATGGGCGCCAGGCCGTGTGCCCTTGATGAGCAGAGCTGCAGCAGAGCTAAGGCAGCCCCTGTGCAGTTTTTCCTCAGTCACCAGGTAGGCCTGGGTGATGTCTCACACTGATGCCAGCTACACTATGGAAAATCTGGTGTAGCGGTGCAACCTTGTCATCCCCAGCTCTCGGGGGCAAGGTCATCCTGGACTACACAGCAAGTTTACTGTCAGCCTGGGTTACATGAGACATGTCTGAAAATAAATAAATAAATAAGCAAGCAACCACTTCAGAACCTAGCGTCTACCACCATGCCCTTCAGCAGATCAACTAGCCCTTCCAAATCTCCTTTCCCATGGACAAGATGGGGTCCCACTGCCCAACTTCAAAGGCTAGCATAAGGGACGTTCTGCTGCAGTGATTCACACAAAGCGCTTCATGCTATCTGGCAGACCTGGACCACGGTGGAACCCCAGGGCCTGGGGAACCCAGAAAAGGAAGCAGGAGCACCCAGTGTGGTCACCACCACCACACAAGGAACAAAGCCCTGCACCAGGCTACCTGGGCGTCCTCTCCTGAGGAGTGCCCTCCGCACTCGGCAACAGGCTGGTCCTCAGGGACTCTGCCGCCAGAGGAGCCTGCACAGGACACAACTGGGTCCTGCCACAGTGGCTGTGTCATGCCATGGGAAGGATCCCACAGACCTGGTCTATGAAGGCTGGGCCTGGGGCAGGGCACCTGTACTCTGGAAGTCCCAGAATTGGGGTGGGGGAGAGAGCTGGGAAGGGAGCCTGCTTCATCTAGGCTCGCCTGGGCTGGTTAGTCAGGGTGCCGACTTTACCACATCTTCTCAGTAAAGAGATTCTTCCCAAACAAAACAAAAACACACATGTGAACAGGTAGGCCAGTGCTGGAGGATATAAATGTGGCTAGATAGCCAATCGGCCATTTTAGATTCTGCCCAGGCTTGGTGGGCCCTCCAGGCCCTGTTCCTTTCCTATCAGATGCAGGGAGGGCTGGCAGGGGAGGCCCTCATCTAGAGATGGTGGCGCCTGGGCCCACCCTCATCTACCCTCCCCAAATGCACCCAGATAGTTGTAGGAGGGAGCAGGAGGTAAGTAAGAGAGAGGAGTCCCCTTTGACCTGATCTGGAAGGCAAGGCGGCAGGCAAGAGGCAGACAAGCAGGTTGGGGCTGGGGGTCCCCGGCGCCTGGGCTCTCTCTCCAGTTTGCTCTGGCTGCCGGACTCTGCGGAGCAAGTCCTAGTTTGGAGAGCTAGCTGCAGTGGCTGCTCCTCTGCCCCCTCCCCCTCACCACCCTCCTCCCCCAAGCCGGAGACAGCCGTTATGAAAATAGCCCTATTGGTAACCGACTGCACTTCCTCTCCCAGTGGTGGCTCCTGGCCCTGCAGCAGGCAGGCAGCAGGAGGTGGGTGGGTAGGCGGTGCACAGAACAGCACAGGAGCCTGGCCTCCTGGCACCTCTTCCCCAAGGCCCAAGCCAGGCTGAGTGACAGCATCAATACATTCTCCTCCAGGAACAGGACAGCCCATACCGTGTCTGATTAAGGCAGCCGAGGTATGCAGAAGGGTACGTAGGAGTGGTGACCCTTTTAAGGAAAGGGGAGCAATCCCTTACTGTCCTCCTATGTCCATGGGACAGGCTTTATGGGGTCTTGGGCAGCTAAACACACTGGTTCCAGACAAAACAACCACAAAAATAATTATCTACGGAGAGCTTCACAACTCAGACAGCCTCTTCTCACCAGCACTATTAGCCAGGAGCCTGGTGATTCCCTGTGCGGGAGCCTCCTGTCCCTGCTGAACAGATGGTGCAACCCGAGGCTCCCAGGAGCCCGTGACTCCTGTCTCAGGAGTAGCTGAGCTGCATCTCCAGAGCCTGACTCTTCTGGCCCTGTCAAGGGGGCCAGCAGTCTTTCTGAGCGCCTGGGTCCATGCCAACTAAAGAATATTTAAGAGAGATCATATGGTGTCACAACCTGGTATGCCAACACCCGCTCCCCCAACTCACGTTCCTGCCGTGGCTCACTAGGGAATGGCAGCTACCAAGCTTCCTGATTCCAGAACCATTTCTACTCTTAACAAAATAATTACTGAAAAGAATTTTGAAAAGAATCCTAGAAGAATTTTGTCTGGCGAGCCGGTGATAGCTATTAACATTTAACCAAACACATTCTAAATTACACCTGAGAGCATTCAGAAGGCAGAGGCAGGCGGATCTCTGAGTTCAAGGTCAGCCAGGGCTACAGGAAGAAAGGAAGAAGAGAAGGGAGGAAGAGAAGGGGGGGAGGATGGGCAGGCAAGCAATAGCGCATAAAACAAAAATCAGTGAAAAGGCAGTTTAACCTGAAAAATAACATGTGTTCTGAGTGTGTTTGCAAGTCCCACAGAGCACGTGCGGCAGTGAAAGGACGACATCATCCCAGCTGCCGTCACCTTCTCCCATGTGAGTTCAGTAGTCCAACTTGGAGGCAAGGTTCTACCTGCTGAGCCACCTTGCCGGCTCATTTATGTTTCCTCTGATGCACTCTTCCTGCACGAGTTCCGTGCGTGTGGGTTGTTCTGGTGGAGGAACATGGAGGATGAGTCTCGCCTCTCCGAGTGGAGTTAGGAAAGAGAGGGCAGCACACCAAGCCTCCAGGTGAGTGCGGCATCACCTGAAAATATGACAAGTAGTATTTCTTTCTTTTCCTTTTTATTTTTGGACACACAGTTTCTCTGTGTAGTTCTGGCTGTCTTGGAACTCACTCTGTAGAGCAGGCTGGCCTCAAACTAAGAGATCCACCTGCACGTGCTGAGATTAAGTCACCACTACCCGGCTGAACCCAAAGTTGATTTTTGTTTGTTTGTTTTTTGTTTTCTCAAGACAGAGTTTCTCTGTAGTTTTGGATCCTGTCCTGGAACTAGCTCTTGTAGACCAGGCTGGCCTCAAACTCACAGAGATCCACCTGCCTCTGCTTCCTGAGTGCTGGGATTAAAGGCGTGTGCCACCACCGCCCAACTCTGAACCCAAAGTTTTATCTTGCAAGGTTTTGGTTTTCTTTTTCAAGGTGAGGTGACCCTTTTAAGACAGGGTTCTCATTATTAAGTATCTCAGGCTGGTCTGGCGCTCCTGGGTAGGAGCACAGGCTGTATGGTATTTTGTGACAGCAAGTGTAGGGCAGTGGAGAACACTGTGGCACTAAGTTATAGTGACCTTTGCTGTCTTCACTGCGCTCCAGTGTCCTGTCCTAGGAAGCCCTTCCCTCCACCAGAAGATAGGTAATGTCTCTAAAATTCTGAGTCCTGCTCAAAAGTCCTGCTAAAAACTTAGTTTCTCATTGAAAACAAATGTTGATACTGGGTTTTGAAGTGGCAGGCTCACTCATTCATATTTGGGGAATGTCTGCAAGAAAGCAGGACTCTGACTACTTCTGTCAGTTGTTCAGGATAAAGGTAACTGGCAGGTTGGATGTGGAGGCACACACCTTGTTTGAGGCCAGCATGGTCTACATAGTGACATAGGGCAGACAGGGCTATGTAGAGAGACACAGTCTCAGAAGGGAAAGAAAAAAAGAAAGAGCGAGCGGGCCACTAGCAGACCACAGCTTGGACTTAGCTGAGAGTTTTAGCACATTCTAGTTTAGCGGGTAGCAAAAATCTTAGGCGAACTCCATTTCATCACACAAATACTAAAAAGACATATATACACACAAGGGATCTTACTGCTGTTAGCTCAGGCCGGTCTTAAACACCATTCTCTGGTTTCAGACTCCTCAATGCTGTGATTACAGCATCTAGCATTGCAAATCACTAATTTCCATCCTCTCTTCTCTGACAGTCTCACACAGCCCAGACAGCCTCCGAGCTGTGCTTAGGCTGGACTCTCTACTGTTTTCTAAAGAAGCATTAGTACCTAGAGCAGGCTTCAGTGGCTGAGACAGCGGCGCAGAGAACAGGAACACACCAGGGCCACTCAGAAGGGATTGCTAGGAAACTGCTTTGTCCGCAGTCTGCGGTGCCACACTTAGAGAACCTCTGATTCAGGGTGGATCCTTACAGCCACCATGGTGTGACAAATGGAGCCAACCTCCAGTGCCATGTCCCTACACCTGGCACACCTCCCTTCCCTGCTCACTTGTGCCACCCCACTCCAGCTGACCACTCATCTGGCTCTTTAGCTGCAGAAACCCTGGATGAGCCTTTTTCCTTAGGTTCCCATGCCTTCTTCTTCCATCAGGCAACCAGCTCCTGGGGGTGGGGCCTAGTCAGTTTATCTGGGTGTGGTCTGTCCAGCACAGGGCTGGCAAGGAGCTATGTTTACTGTGGGTGGGCTCAGGAGGAAGGAATAGGGAATTCTGTGGGGGAGGGATCAGAGCTTTCAGGGATTGGTAGCGCTTCCTCCTGGGTACCCCACCAAGGGCTGGCCACAGGCCCAGGCCACTTCTCTTTGTTTGGGCACAAGAGGATGGCAACAGCCTTTGTTTTGGTGGCCAGCTACAACTCCTCTTCAGGAGATCTGGTAAGTGACACCTACAGGCCCCTTTCTGGGTTGGGAAGCCATTGCTTACTCCACAGACGTTGGGGGAGGAGGGGATGCCCAGATGCTTGGGGGCCAGGCCAGGACCCTAAATGAATTCTTTGATGAAATGTCCCTAGCTTATTCCTTCATGTTCAGGGAACTCGTTAGCGTCTGAGAAGTAGAGTTTCCTCTTCCGTCCCCTGCTGTCCCAGAGTCACCTGGGAGCACTCACTTCTGCATGACTGCTCCCCACTGGCAACTGACAAGAACCTGGGCCTGGCAGCCAACAACTTTCCCTCCTATTTTCCTTTGAAAAAAAAAAAATTTAACATTAATTTTGTGTGTGTGTGTGAGCACACACAAGTCTTCACGTGAATGTCGGTGGGTACATATATGTCATCATACCATAACACACAAGTAAAGGTCAGAGAACAACTTTCGGAAGTTGGCTCTCCTACCATATGAGTTCTGGGGATGAACTCAGCTCATCAGCTTAGCAGCAAGTACCTTTAACCTCTGTGCCATCTCTCTAGCCCATTTTCCTACTTTTCTATGTTAACAAATACATACTTCACTTGACCACTGGTGATCTATTTTCTTATTTGACACAATGTCTTGTGTAGCACGGGATGGCCCTGAACTTCGGATCCTCCTACCTCTACCTCCCAAGTGCTGGTAATCACAGGCAATCACAACCATACAGGGTAAGCAAATCTTATCCTATTAATGCTGACTGAATTAACAGTTGGTACTATGGATCCCCATTGTCTATCCTCACATTATAGATGAGGGAGCGAGGCACAATGCAGGGCAGTGGCTAGCCCAAGCTTACAGCTGACAAGTGGCAGAACGTCAATGAAAACCCACTGGCAAGCCCTTATCTGCCTCTTCTGGCTGCTTCTGGCACACAGACACCTCTATGCTTGGCCCCTTTAAAATGGAGTCTCTCTAATGGAGACCAGGCCCCTCTCTTTACCAACTTCAAACTCTGTTTTCTTTCTCAATTTTTTAAAATAAATCTTTATTTATTTATTATATATAGTGTCCTGTCTGTCTGTATGCTTGTACACCAGTAGAGGGCACCAGATATCATTATAAATGGTTGTGAACCACCCTGTGGTTGCTGGGAATTGGACTGAGGTCCTCTGAAAGAGCAGCCAGTACTCTTAACTCTGAGCCATCTCTCCAGCCCTCCTTCCCACCAGAGCTGGCTCAGACACTGGCTCTGCCAGAAAACTTTCCCTCTGACACTCTCCCCTGGAAGAGTGGGGATGAGCTGCTCTTGCACTCAGACCCTCTCCTGGTTATTTTAGGCTAACAGTACTGACCTGCTAGGCTGCATCCCCCATGAGACTACAGGCCCTGAGACCTTGTAGCACTAGTAATCACACCCCCAAGTGTTGAGCATGGCCTGAAGTGAGAAGAGATAGCTAGTGAATGGTCCCTCCTCAGCAGAGGCTTCAGGCTGGCTGGCCAGTTCCTAAGGCCTAGCACTGGGTAGATAAACCTTGTGTTTTACAGGCAGCCCTGAGACTGTCCCCTTACGGGAATGCTAATGTGTCTTCTTCCAGGTCTCCCAACTGGACTCCTTTGTGGCACCTGTGTCTGGGTCCATTTCCTTCTCAAGTATCTGAAGCAAATTCCAATTCTTCACCTGCTAGGAGGAGATGGACCTACTACTTAAACTCAAAATTTAACCTCTCACAACTTCTGAATCCTCTAGCCCAGTC